CATTTGTTAAAATGTTCATTAATATGTATTGCCCCTCTTTCTAAAAATAAATAAATAAAATAAAAATAAATAGTCTAATTTGTTATTGTTAATGCTACTGTACTGTAGCAACTGTAACCCACAAAATTTCTCTAGGGATTAATAAAGTATTCTGATTCTGATTACATTTGAGTAAGGTTTTTCCACTTCCACCTCCTTGTCCACTCTCTGTTGTCGTTTTCATCACTTTTACTTGTTGTGCTTCCTCTTTTGACATTTTGACAGCTCTCTATATTGGTGTTATTCACTCCATTAAACCTTTTTAAATGCTCCATAGGTCCTTGTTCTGGATCCTCCAGCCTGTGCTTAACATAAGGGGGGCTTTAGAAGTTCTGCTGCTGAAGTTCAAACCTAGCATGAGAATCGAGTATAAAGGTGTCACGAAGAATTAAGAGAGTTCTATAGACAAAACATAATGTAACTAAGCAGCCGGTGAGTGCACAATTCCTAATTTTAAACCTTCATGACTTAATTCCAAACATAAACCTTTTATGTTTGTAGCATTTTAAAAGCCATCTTCCTATTTATATTAAAAATAGACCCAATCAAATTTTCTCCATAAACATGCCTCATTATGTAATCATGAATATATTAAAGAATATATTAATTCAAAAGATCTAGCTCTTCAAGGGTATTAGCAACTAAACAATGATCCAAAAAAATATCCCGAAATAATTCAGTATTTGGAAAAGCCAGGCTCTCTACAGCATGAATTACTTAGATTTTCCTCACACCTTTTTTAAATGAATAATGACTGATCACCATTGGTTGTAGGAAGATGTGTTGCTGATCAGGCCTTTCTCAAAAGCAAATGTTCCGTCATCCACTGCGAATTTAAAGACATTATTTTTAGTTTACTCTTACTATTCATATTGGCATATCTTTAATAATGATTTGGTTATGAGAACAATGACAGGAGAGTCAGAGTGAGAGCAGCAGAAAAAAAATGGGGGTGAGAAAGAAACCTGTTCCAAGTTTCAAATCATGCATTATTCATATTTTCAGCTCTGCTAATAATTTTTTTAAACAATTTAATACGTTTAACACCCGTTTGGCTTTTGAACCGTGCTTATTAAAGGTGAAGAAACAGCAGCGAGCCAATGGCAGTTATAAAGTGTGTTCACACCGTAATGACCATGATTAACAAGTCGGGGGAGGTGATTGCCGAGCTGACAGACTGAAATTACTCCACGGGGAGAGTTTGTCAGCAAGCTTTAAGCTTGTAGGTGATAAAAAGTTAGAAAATACTGAAGTTGAAAGGTTTAGCCATCACTAACAACAGCAGGTGCCAGAAGTATAAAACTCCAGAGATTCACAACTAAAACTCTGTGGGAAAAAAAGAGAAATTTGCATGCACATTGTTTTTGTTCAGTCTATTAGAAATATATTATCTGTATGTGCCTGAGGCTAATTTCCGCTCTTATCATCATCCACGAATGGATGTAGAGACTCCCTAAAAAAAGCCTATAAAATGCTGTCTAAAACACATTTTCCTGTAGAAATACCAGTTCAAGTGTGAGAAAAGGCATTTCCATGCTTTTACTAGATGGGTCTAAACTAGAATAAGTCTGTTTACAGACAGTCAAATCACTCTTTCACTTTTACAGCTTTCAGGTAGCTAAAATATCCCACGAATGAATCACAAATGTCAGTGCACCTGTTACCTCTTATGTACTTATTAACCACATGTGCTCAGCGGTGGAGTTATTAGATAAACAAGATGAAATAAGAGGTATTAATTCTGTCATTTCAGCAGTCTGATATATATGGTTGAAAGTGAAGGTGGAGCCTCACTGATTTAACAACTGGTTTCACAAATTATAAGCGTAAAAGTGGAAACACGGCTTATAAATGGAATTTCAGTCAGCTACCGAAGACAAGCCCCTGCCTTCTAACCTTTTTAAAACAAGAAAAAAGTATAATTATGGTAAATTATGTAATGATACCACGGCATTCAAGCTGTATTCAGTATAATTTTCACTATTGTAGCTTCTGAATGCTTTAAGCTCTAAATTCTTCAGCATCAGCGGCAGAAAAGCCTGCAGGATTTTCAAAACCTGTGTTCACTCAGAGCTGTTAGCCTACAAGACAACATTAGCTTCATAACAGAACACTGAATATTAGTAAGATAAATTTCACGAGCTGACTTTTCCACTAAATTTCAAATACAGTGCAAACCATGTTTACGGTCCCAGAATCATCTCAATGTGTGCGGTGTGGGATAAAACTGCCAAAAGTATGAAGCTGATGACATTTTCTGTCAAAGAACAGGTCCAAGGATAGTTTAATCCAACTCTTGAAAGCAGCGCTTTTAATCTTTTCAATCTGGTGTACTGGCATAAGCCCTTTGAAATGGACCCAAACCACATTGTGTTCAAACTCATTTTAATTCTCAAATCCAGTCTCACGTGTCCATACTGCTTGCTCACTGTTACCCACTACTTTAACAGCTATGAGGCTATTGAGCATAATTTTTAATAATAATAATAATAATAACAATAATGCATTTTATTTGAGGGCGCCTTTCAGAAACCCAAGGTCACCTTACAAAAAACAAAATTAATAAAAGGAACAGTAGTCATAAAATACATAAAATAAGTTAAAATTACAAAACAGAGCTTGACAACAGATAAAATCAGCATTAAAGCGAATAAGCCAGTTTAAACAGGTGTGTTTTGAGCTGTGTCTTAAATACGGAAAGGGAGTCAATATTTCTTAGTGCAGGAGGGAGAGAGTTCCAGAGCCGGGGAGCAGAGTGACTGAAAGCTCTGTTCCCCATAGTAATAAGGTGTGAGGATGGAACAGATGAATAGCAGATGATGATCTGAGAAAGCGGGAAACACTGGTGATATGGAGCAGGTCACACAAATAGGAAGGAGCAGATTTATGGATACACTTGTATGTAAGAAGTAAGATTTTAAAATTTATCCTGGCTTCTACGGGCAACCAGTGAAGCTGCTGAAGAACTGGGGTAATATGAGTGCAAGTTATGACCCGAGCTGCAGAATTTTGAAGAAGTTGGAGTTTATGAAGGGACCTTTTAGGGAGACCAAATAGGAGGGGATTACAGTAATCAATTCGGGACGTAATAAGACTATGGACAAGGATGGCAGCAGCATGGGGAGTAAGGAAGGGACGGAGTCGGTT